AAAGCGAGAGAGAGAGAGAGAGAGAGAGAGAGAGAGAGAGAAAGAACTAAAAATAAATAAAAATAAAATACCAAACGGGAAGAAAGTGCTTTCTCAAGGATTTCATTCATCATCAACTTAGGTATCTTGTTTTTCTAAACTATATAAAAATCATACAACTATCATCATTCCTTTCTTGTTAAGAACAATGATCTCTTTGTATACACATTTATGTACATCTTAAGTATATATTTCTCTGTAGTCTGGTTTGTAATTTTTCAGTATCTAATGGTGTTTTTATTGCTAAGGCTATGAATGTGTTTCCAGTTTAGGAAATTAGTTAATTAGCACTCAGACACAAGACACCAAGAGAACAGTCCCTTATTTATAAACTCAGGATAGAAAACAAGAGAAAAACAATTTAGAAAGTTATATAGTAGTATTTAGTAATTTATTTTTATCAATGTGAATAACGTTTAACTTTTGGGTGGTCTGAACCTAGGGCTGTTGCTTGCTAGACAAATGCTTTGCCAATGAACTACATTCCCAGCTAGACTTTTAACTTTTAATGGGGAAAAAAAGCTTTTTTTTTAAATTAGTATATACCCAACATCCAGCACAATTGTTAACATAAAACAAGCATTCTTTATTTACTAAATGAGGGAGTAAATCATTAGTCAAAACTTTATTTTATACCAACCAAAGTAGTATTTTAGTAAATATTTTAAGCTTTTAAAAACAGTAAACACAGGAACTAGAGAGATGGGTCAGTGGGTAAGAGTGTGTACTGTTCTTGCAGAGGACCCAAGTTAAACTCCCAGAACACAGCCACCTATAACATCTGATGCCCTCTTCTGGCCTCCGAGGGTACCTGCACTCACATACACATATTCCCACACAGATGTAACACACACATAATTAGAAACATTATTAATTATATATAATTATATAAATGTTATGAATTAATATTAAAATAATTATTAAAATAAATAAATATTTTTTAGAATAAGAAAAATAGTAATATTAGGAAGGCAGGGTCATTCATTTATATAATCACAATATCCAAGAGCCTCTGAAGCAAGAGCACTGCTTACATATAAAGTTCAGCCTGGGCTACAGGTCATGAAATGGAAAAAATAAGGAATGGGAGGGGAAGGAAGAAGCAAAGAAAAAGGAGAAGCAGAGATAGGGAAGGAAAAATAAAAGGCAAAGAAAGGAGAAAAGAAAGAAAATAGTAAATATTTCATGCAGGTCATATCATCTCTCTGGTATTCAGTCAACTCTGTCATCACAACATGGAAGCAGGCAAAGACAATAAATATATAAAGGAAATGAGTACAGCTGTGTTCCAGTAAAAGTTTACAAAAAAAAGGTGACATGTATTTTGTAATATTCAAACAAAACAAGGGGCAGTCTATAGTTTGCTAATGCTTACAATCACTAAAACAACAAATGTCAGGTGTGATGGCATGCTTTTAATCTCAGTACTCAGAAGGCAAAGGCAGTAGATCTCTGCACTTGTGGCCAGCCTGACCTACCTAGTAAGTTCCAGGCCAGCAGAAACTACATAGGAAGACCTGTCTCAAGGGAAAAAAAATTTGCTGGGCGGTAGTGGTGAATGCCTTAGGAGGCAGAGGAGGTATATCCCTGTGAGTTTGAGGCCAGCCCGATCTACAGAATGAGTTCCAGAACAAGCTAAGGCTGTTACACAGAGAAAGACTGCCTATTTTTTTTTTTTTTTTAGGTTTTTCGAGACAGGGTTCTCTGTAGCTTTGGAGTCTGTCCTGGAATTAGCTCTTGGGAGTGGACGGACAGACGGAGAGAGGGAGGGAAGGAGGGAGGGAGAGAAGACAAGAAGGGAGGGAGGGAGAAAGTTAGTTGAATACTACATGTCCCATCAATAAAAGAAACATGAAGTGTTATAATCTGCAAAAAGTTATAAAGCATACATTCCTCCCTCAATAACTAGCATAGCATAGCATACTTTTTCAAGTCGAAAGATGTGATCTCTTTCTAGACGTTCTTCTGCTTGTTTCAAGCCTAGCCTCTGCTCAGGTGTCAATGCAGACTCATCTATCACAGTAGCATTTTCTAAATAGTCCATCTCAGAAGAATTTTCTTTATTAGATTCTTCACGCTTCATTTTACCTACAAAAGAAGCAATCATTATTATATCAGTTATTATCATGATGGCGGTAGTAGTGCACTTCTTTTTAAAAAAAATATTTTATTTATTTGTTTATTATGTATACAGTGTTCTGTCTGTCTGTCTGCTTGCTGGCCAGAAGAGGGCAACAGACCTCATTACAGATGGTTGTGAGGCACCATGTGGTTGTTGGGAATTGAACTCAGGACCTTTGGAAGAGCAGGCAATGCTCTTAACCGCTGAGCCATCTCTCCAGCCCCAGTAGTGCACTTCTTTAATCCCAGCACTCAGGAGGCAGAGGCAGGTAGATCTCTGTGAGTTTGAGACCAGCCTGGTCTACAGAGTGAGTTCCAAGACAGCCAAAGCTACACAAAGAAATCCTATAACAAAAAACATAACAACAACAACAAAAAAACCAATTATTATTAAAAATTATAAACTTAAAAAAATAAACACTTAAGTATGGTGGGAATTCTTTCACTTGGTTGTGCAAGTTATTAGATCAAGTTAATAAATGATATTTATATAATAATAAATATAAATAAATATATATATATATGACATGTGCATGATGAACTCAGGAGATAGCTTATTAAGTAAGTATTATTATTAAGTAAGGATAACTGCCACTAAGCTTGATGTCCTGAGTTCAATCCCAGGACTCCTATGGTGGAAGAAGAAAATATACTCCCACCAATTGTCCTCTGATCTCCCCACATGCCAGGTGCACACACACACATACAATAACTGAATAAATGTAACATTTTTTTAAAAAGCAGTGCTAACGGATTGAAGAGATAGATGGCTTAGCAGTTACATGAACTGGTGGCTATAGCAATGGATAGGTAGAAGCATGCAGATCCGAGTTCAGGGTCAACTTGGTCTACACAGTGAGTCAAAAACAGTTACAGCTACAGAGAAAAGACTGTCACAAAGCAAAAAAAAAAAAAAAAAAAGCACCAGCACCTACATGACAGCTTACAAATATCTATAACTCCAGCACCAGGGGATTTAATGCCTTCTTCTCATCTCCATTAGTACCAGGCAAAAATGATACACAGACATACATGCAGGCAAAACACACACATTCACAAAATAATTTTTTGAAATTTTAAACCACTGCTCTGTCAATCGATAAAATACCCCATCATCTTCAAAAGCTAACTACTTAATAGAGAAATCCTGACAGTCAATCTTACTTTTGGTTGCTTGTGAGGTAGCTAGGACTAGGGTGTGTGTGTGTGTGTGTGTGTGTGTGTGTGTGTGTGTGTTAAAATATTAAAGCTCTAATTTTCTAAACCAAGAAGAAATAGCATTGAGAGGTGGTACATTTCCTACCAAAGGTCATGGGACTGTCCAGAATAAAAAGCAAACTCATAAATAAGAATGTTATAAGAAGAGAAACAGAGAGATAGCTGAGTAGTTAAAAGCAATTATTATAAAAGACTCAAGTTTAGTTCCCAGCACCCACATAGCAACTAAAAACAGTCTGCAATTTCAGCTCCAGAGGATTCTGGTCTTTGAGAGCAATGCACATATACAGTGCACAGGCATACATGCAGGCAAATTTAACACATAAATTAAAATAATAAGTCTGTTTGTTTATTTTTGAGACAATGTCTCTTTATCTAGCCCCGAATGACCTGGAACTATGTCAATCAAGCTGACTTCAAACTCAGAGGCCCACTTGGTTGAATTACTAACAGGGTCAATAAATCTCTCTCTTTTTTTAAAAGAATGTTATTAAAAAAACACAAATACTCAAATGTTATTAGGTAAGATTCAGTACCTGGGTTTTTTGACTAAGAAATGATCTCTTGGGGCTAAAGAGATAGTTTATCAGTTAAAATGACTGGCTGTTCCTCTAGAGGTCCCAGGTTAAATTTCCATTTCCAACACCCACACAGCAGCTTACAACTGCCTGTAATTCCAGTGCCTGTAATTCTCAAGGATTTCATTCATCATCAACTTAGGTATCTTGTTTTTCTAAACTATATAAAAATCATACAACTATCATCATTCCTTTCTTATTAAGAACAATGATCTCTTTGTATACACATTTACATACAGTGCTTTGGAAAAGAGGTTCTTCTTTTGTTTTCACAGAAGACGAGAACCTGTGGATTGCTTCTACTCCAACATGGTTTCATGGACCAAGGCCTCCTGAAAGGTTGCCGTGAACACCCTCAAAAAATTGCTTTGCTCAACTGTTGACTGAGATAACCCTGGCACACAGGATACACCATAAAAGACCTGATTAACAGCGCACCCATATAGCAGAAAGCAGTTTGGAGAGAAGAAAACTGCGCCCATATTCCCAAATATTATCTATAAATGTTTATTTACATTTAAAGGGGATATGACATAGATATGAATTCGCATTGGTATAGATCTTCCTTTATTCATACGAATTTAAGGTCAATTTTGTTATATGTATATGTATTTCTGATCTTGATTAAGGTATTGTAACTGTGCAGCTCATTTAAAAATGTAATATATAATTAAGAAATATAGGTTAATAGAGTCATCTTTAATAGTCAAGCTTCTAGTCATGTTAGTTAGAATTTAAAGATATATAGAGATATATTTCAGTTAGATACTCTTCAAATCTTTCAGAGACCTTCAGAATATGGCATTTAAATGTTTTAAAAAATTTAGGACTTTTCACCAGGTGGTGGTGGCGCACGCCTTTAATCTCAGCACTCGGAAAGCAGAGGCAGGCGGATCTCTGTGAGTTCGAGGCCAGCCTGGTCTACAAGAGCTAGTTCCAGGACAGGCTCCAAAGCTACAGAGAAACCCTGTCTCGAAAAACAAAAACAACAACAACAACAAAAATTTAGGTCTTTTCATGACAGTGAGACATATCTGCTCCTGGCAGCACCAAGCTACTCCAAGAGGAAGATGAACATTGAAGAGGATCCTTAGCCATTTGGGCAAAAACCTGCTCTTGCCTGGACTGCTTCACTGGACATGCAGTACCCAGAGAGAGATGACTGCTGAACTTGCCTAAAGGTGAGATGGTCCTTTGGGGTTCCTGCTTCATGAAAGAGTCTGCGAGACATTCTACAGGACACAAAAGAAAATAACTAAAAACTGCCAATATAGGCAAAACTGTCTTTGAAATTTCCTGCTTCATGGAAAAGTCTGCTGGATACTATGGGCCTGAAGGCTGAAGATGGATGCCCCAACAGTATAGAAAAACTTTGGGTAACTGTTCAGGCAGCAAGAGTCAATTCTAGAGTTTTGGAAGTTTCTTATAATGTACTTCCTGTTTACTTAGGTAATATTATATCCTTCTGAGGTCTTTAATGGAGTTGAAGAATAGATAGTAATAATAGTTTTGCTTAGTTACAATAAGATATAAAGTAGATATAAATACTGCAACTGTAATTCTTACTTGATAACTGTTTTATTATATGTAATTTTACTATGTTAAAGTTAAAGCCTTCCCTTTTGTTTAAACAAAAGGGGGGGGTAGTTCAAGTAGTAGTTCAAGTAAACAGTATATATCTCAATCAATCTCTGCTTCCACTTTCACTCCTAACAAAAAATCTGGTGCACTGAAGCCAAAAAGATTTTTAAAAAGAAATAAATTATCTTTGATTTCTTTAATGTCTTCTAAAATCACACAAAATGGTCTTTGTCAACTGAATAGCCCCTTCATTTTAAGCCCTCTAAAAGGTGAAATTTTTATCATGCCCTTAAATTTCTGCTCTAATCAATACTGAATCTCATTCATAATCAGTCCACACTTAATAATGTAGTTACCCAATCTAAAGGCCAAATAACAAAATTTAATCATGTACATTCTCAAGTTTTTGCCACTGAAAATCAGTTTTGTAACACATCAAATACAATGATTTTTTTGTGTGTTTTAATAAATAAAGCTTGCCTGAAGATCAGAGTGCAGAGCTAAGTCATTAGAGGTCAGGGAGTGTGGTACACCTTTAATCCAAGGACTCAAGGTCACCCTAGTGGACACAAGATTGAATCTGTCTAAAAAGAGGGAGAACTCACAAAGTGTTCCCAATACTCAGGAGTCACACACCTTTAATCCCAGCACTAGCAAGGTGAAGATAGGAGTGATATGGCTAGGCAGAGGGAAGTATAAGAAGCAGGAAAAGACAAGAGCTCATTGCAGTCTGAGGATTGATGGAGAGTACTGCATTTGCAGTCAGGCTGAGGATAGAATCACCCCTTTGTCTGGGTCTTGGTAGAGATAAGGGACTCTCTACTGGTTTGTCTACATTGCTTTTCTGATCTTCAGCTTGAACCACAATAATCTGTCTCTGGTTTTTTGTTTTATTTTGTTTTTTTTCATGCTACAATCAAATAAGACGATTTCTTGAGACCTAGAGTTGGGTTATGGTTTTCAACTGTAAACATATGACTGGGTCACAAATAGGAACCCAATATATACCTATTTATAGAATAAATGAGCATATACTACCAAGATCATTTAAAACTGGGCATCTAAGTAGAGTAATAAATTTATATAATCCCAGCACTTCTGAGATTGTTTAAAATAGGAGGATTAATAGTTCAAAAGGATAGAGAGATGACTCATCATTAAGAGCACTCATGGCAGTCCTGACCCAACCACAGAAGAAGCAAGATGTGACCGCCTTGCTGAATAAAGTACGAAGCCACGTGGCTAGCATAGAAAAGAATAATGGGCTAATATAAGTTACGAGAGTTAATAAGAAACCTGAGCTAATGGGCCAATTAGTCACAGCAACTCACAATATCTATACCCCTTTTCCAAAGGATCTGACACTCTCGCACAGACATATATGCAGACAAAACACCAATGTACATAAAATACAAATAAATAATTTTTAAAAAATTCCAAGGCAAGGACTAGAAAGATGACTCATCAATTAAGAGCACATAATGCTCTTCCAGAAGAACCAGGTTCAAGACCCAGAACCCCTATTAAGTGATTTACAACCATATATCCTCTAGTTCTAGGAAATTCAACACCATTGGCTTCTGAATGAACACACAAACACACATACTCCTACACACATATATGCACATAATTAAAAATAATCTTAAAAGCTGGGCTGTGACAGTGCATGCTTTTAATCCCAGCACTCAAGAGGGAGACCTCTGTGAGTTAGAGGCCAGCCTGGTCTACATAATGAGTTCCATGACAACCAGGATTACATAGAGATACTGTCTCAAAATAATAATAATAAAAATTTTAAATTATGAAACAAAAGAGTTCTAGACCAGTTTGAGTTACACAGTTCAAAGCCAATATGCTTTCTACAATGATACCAATAAGTGTACAAAGGCCAAAGGTGTACTCCAGTGATAGAATACTTGTCCTTGCCCAGCATACACAAGGATAAGATCCCTACTATCAGTAAATAAGTGGGTTATGATGTTGGATTCCCCTCTGTGAATACCATTGGTTAATAAAGAAACTGGCTTGGCCTGATAGGGTAGAACAGAGCTAGGTAAGGAAAACTAAACTAAATGTTGGGAGGAAAGCAGAGTTTAGGAGAAGCCATAGAGCCCACCGCCAGAGACAGACAAGCTGAAACCTTGCTGGTAGGTCACAAGCCTCGTGATAAAATATAAAATAGTGGAGATGGGTTAATTTAGATGTAAGAGCTAGCTAGCAATAACACTTAGTAATTGGCCAAGCAGTGATTTAATTAATAGTTTCTGTGTGGTTATTTCGGGAGTCTGGGCAGCCGGAAAACAAATAAGCGGAGGACGGCCAGGAATCAACAAGTGGGCCCTACAACAAATGTATTCACAAACACCCACTAAACTCTTATGCGTACAACTTTTCACTAACAAATAAATAAATAAATAAAGGTTTTGCTTATTTCTTTGTTTCCAACCTTTTTAAATTAAAGTAGCTAAACCAGAAATAACCTACAAAACATTAACAGGAAAATCCTGACCAAAACAACTTATGAAAAATGCCATGTGTGTTTATACTTACTCAAATCATCTGATGTATCTTCAATTCCTGAAGCACTGTCATCAGAATCACCAATATTATCTGTCTGTGCCTGTTGCCTCTGAGATGGCAGTAAGTTTTCCAGAGTCGATTTTTCTCCCTGTAGAGTTTCAGTATTCCTTTTGTCCACAGAAACAAAGGAGCTTGTAAGTTTCTTCCCAGTCTGTTGTGCCTCTGTCTGTTTCATATTTTCTTTCAACAGTAAACTGGATGCATTTTCTGGTTCTAATGGCGAGCTGGGTGTCTTTTGTAATTTTATCTGAGAAGTGGGTATATTTTCTTCTTTCTTCTGTGAATTAAGTGCTTTTTCTGTTGTTGCTGTTGTACAGAGTGCTTTTTCTGCCTTTACTGGTAAATTGGGTGACTTTGGTAATTTTTCTTGTTTTGCCTGTAGGCTAGGTGCCTTTTCTACTTTTGCCTGTGAAGATCCCTTCTGGGCTTTCATGGGTGAATTTGGTATCTTTTTCACTTTGCAATGACTCTGATCTCGAAGTGCTAACCCCAAATCTTTAGGGCCCGGAACACTGGCAGCATTTACTTTACATGATTTAACTTCTGTTTTTTCTATACAAATATCATTTTGCTTGTTTTTTTTACTACTATTCCTATTCAGAGAGCTGGTCCCAATTTCTGTCACGGACTTATCATTTCTAGGCTTCAAGGTTTGATTAGCTATAATTTTAACTGCTTTGTTTTCTTCACAAATAATATTCTTCTTTGGTTCATGATTTTCACTTTTAGATGTTTTGGGCTCTTCCATTATTTGAAAATCTGGTTCTTTTCAATTGTAATACTGTAAAATGGCAGATCTCAGGTATATGAACTGCTCCAAATCTAGTTTAGGCAAACTATAGGAATTAAAATAAAAACAAAATCTGTTATTTAAAATGCAAAAACATTTTGTCAGTCAATTTTAAAATGTATTCTCAAAACTAAAACATTCTTCAGAAAGCTTTACGAAAAGGGTTTAAATCCTCATTAACCGAAGGCAGTGGCAGGCCTCTGTGAACTCGAGGCCAGCCTAGTCTAAGTAGCCAGTTCAGGGCCACAAAAGACTACAGAGTGAGACTGTCTCAAAATACAAATGAAAACAAAAACAGGCTTTTTACAAAAACAAAGTTGCTTTCTATTGCCTAATGAGAATTTCCACTAATATTTCCACAAAAATAAAACCTGGCCAGTCAATGGTGACACACGCCTTTAAATTTCAGTCTCAGTAGGTGGGATCCCTAAAGAGTTCAAGGCCGCCAGCCTGGTCTACAAAGCACCAGAAAATCAAACCAGAGAAGTCCTCTATATGACCAGGGTGTGGTGTTACAACTGGGCAGTGATGGTGCATGCCTTTAATCCCAGTTCTCTGGAGGCGGGTCTCCATGAGTTGGAAGCCAGCCTGGTCTACATGAACGAGATCCAGGACAACCACAGTGGTTACATACAGAAATCCTTTCTGGAGTGGGGAGGAGAGGGGAGGGGAGGGAAGATGGGGAAAGGAGAGGAGTGGAGGGGAAGGCAAACCTGAAATAGTATGCCTCTATCATTATAAAGAAAAACTGAAGAGCTACAGAATTTCAGTCTCTGTGCACTATAAAGTTATAGAATCCTCAGTGTTAAGTTTTGCACCCACATAATTTCATTCTGAACACACCTGTTTATACCACAACCTACTCAATTCCCTAAACATGAGAAACAATCACTCCTGAAGTAAAGAGAATTGTAAATGAATTTGAGTAAATAAACTTTTAAGTACTGTTATTACACTGTTCCTAAAACACAAATAATGAACACTATGAAGTACAAATGTTGCTTAAAACTATGGACTTTGGGAGATAACAGTTTTAGTGTAGAGTCATCAGTTGTAATAAATTTATCACATAGTGCCCAGTGTTGATGGTAGAGGTAGGCTATGAACATGTGAGGACACGGAATATGTGAGAACTCTGTTTTCTGCTCAACTTTGCTGTGAACCCCTCCCAAAACAATAGTAAAAAAGAACACCAAAAAACAATCAGAGCCTATTTTTCTTGAGAAAAAAAAATGTTAATAGGAACAATTATAATGATGAAACATTAAATTTACAAGACTATAATCTTTGACTTTTACTAAGTAATACTACTAAATTATAAATCAGAGCACACAAGTCTAATTATATAAGCATTCATCATAAAAACACAAAAGTATTACCTAAAACAAAAAGTTCAGAATGAGTCAATTTATTTGCAACTGTATATATGCAAAACAATACACACACACAAAAAAAACCTTTAGTCTAAGTATATTTACATTAAAGCATCTCACCAACTAGAACTAGAGTTTGTAATTCTAACTTGTAGAAAAGTGGTTTTACAACTGAGTAGTGATGGTGCATGCCTTTAATTCCAGTTCTCTGGGGGCGGGTCTCCACGAGTTGGAGGCCAGCCTGGTCTACATGAGCGAGTTCCAGGACAACCACAGTGGTTACACAGTGAAATCCTGTCTGGAGAAACTAAAATAAAGAAGCTGGGCGGTGGTGGTGCATGCCTTTAATCCCAGAACTCAGAAGGCAGAGGCAGGCAGATCTCTGTGAGTTCAAGGCCAGCCTGGTTTACAGAGTAACTTTCAGGACAGGCTCCAAAACTACAAAGAAACCCTGTCTCCAAAAGAAAAAAAAAAAAAGACAAAAAAAGTACATAATATAATGATTTATTAACTTTGAATTTTTGCTAAAGAGAAAGGAACAACAGCTGCAGAGAGACATTGGATAACAGAAAAAACTATGGAATTAATCAGCAATATACTTTAAAGATATACTAACCTCACAATGGAACCCAGAATATGTGTTATATTGGGGAAGAGGTTTTGCTTTTGTTTACACAGAAGAAAAGCTATGGATACCATCAAAATTGATAAAGATCTGATTTGAACAAGAGACACCTCTTAATCAAGCAGTATGATCATTTAAACTAACCTATAAAACAAATGTTTTTTATTTGATCAGATACAACTTGCCAAAAGTGAATCTACCCAAAATTAGGGTTGGAGAAGGGTTTTGTTTCTGTCTTTTCAGGAGAATAAAGGCATCCAATGAAGGAATCTGAAGACTACTGGACAAATGAGACATCTAAAGAAAAAGGACAAATCATCTAGAAAAAAAATGTCTCAAGAAAAGGAGTAAATTGCCCTATTAGTATACCACATTTCCAACAGGATAAAATTTCATAAATCTTCCCAAATGTTTGTTTCTGTTGTTCTCTACAGACATTTAATGCAAATGATCTTTTTGTAGTCCCAAATCCAATTAAAGACTAAAGCTGAGTTTGGAGTTGGAGTGTGGCTCTCTCCTTCTCTAAACCAAAACATGTCTATTAAAGTCTCATGTCAGAAGAGGTACCTGATATGGGACAGAAGAAAAACAAATATTTTGTTGCCACTAATCCCATAATCCTCTGGTTTTATATTGACTCAGCTTTTCTTAAGGTATAAGTTTTATAACCGTGTGTGTGTATTCTAAACTTTTTGTTATGATATTAATGGTCACATAGAGTACTAACTAATTCTTGAAAAAGATTTCATTTACCTTCTTGTACATGATTTCGGGTTTGAGTCTCTATCAGTTTTCTATAGTGAACCTGACCACAACTAACAGCAACCTTTGAAGTCTCCAAAAGTAAGATTGGTGTCCCACAATGACAATTTCTCCAGGACTATGATAACATCACTAAGCTGAAAAACACCACCTAAAAGATCAGCTTTGGACTACAAACTGCTCAGAACAATTTTGAGGTCCCTGGCTGAGATGATCCAGTCTCACTGACTACTCTAGCCAGGACTTGAGACAGGACCTGTACTTTCCCATTACGCAGAGACTGGACAACAAATGATATGATACAGCTACCTCCCCTAGGACTTGACAATTAACCCAATTTTTTTTTTCAGGATCCCCTAAAGGTACCACTGCCCCCAAACAGAAGGAAGTAAATTTAAGAATATGATGCCCACATTCCCAAGAAGTGGGGTAGGTGGTTTTTGGTCACTCAAAGGGTTATGTACTTGTCATTGTTCAAGGGGGGGTGGTTATAAGTTGTTATTGGTTGCAGTCAGGAGGAAATTGAACAAAGGAGATTAGATTCAAGGTTCTTGTTTTAAAAAGAAAAAAGAGGGATATAGCTATAATAGGATAAAAGGGTAGATTATTGAATCTACTCTGAAATGAAAAAAGAGGATATAGATATAAGATAAAAAGGTAGATTACTGAATCTACTTTTAAAAAGCAACTACCAGCTTTAAATGTTTTTACACTGGATTGGACTTTTGTATATTGTATACAATTTTTTTGTATTGATACAAATTTGAGATTAATTTTTTTAGAACATACTGTACTTACATTTCTACTCTTGCTCAAGGTATATCTATTACACTTAACAATGTAAATTTCTAGTCCTTGAAAATTATTATTACCAACTGTTTAGGATAATAAAGAAATGTAGGTTAATAGTTAATTATCTATTACAATTGAACTTGTAGGTTTTATATGTTTTCAAGATCAAAGATATATTTTAGACACCTCATCTTCAAACACTTCAGAGATCTACATTTAAGATGTTTTAATAATATAGGTTCTTTTTATTTTTAAAGACAATGAGACTTGTCTGCTCCTGGCAGCACCAATCTACTTCAGAGAAGATGATGGGCATCAAAGAAACTCCACATGAAATTTCCTTATGGCAAAAGTAAGTCATTGGGCAAGAAAATGCCCTTGCCTCAACTGCTGACATTACCCTGTCCTAACTGGATAAGTAGGACACAAAAAGAGTGACTGCCAAACATTGTCAAGACAAGGAGGGACAGACCTTCAGAATATCCTGCTTCACAGAAAAGTCTGTCAGATAACCTAGGTCTGTAGGCTGAAGATAGATGCCCCAATGTTGCAGAGGAACTCTGAGTGATTGTCCAGGCAGCCAGCTATTTCTGTCATTTCTCACATTTTTTGGAACTTGTTTGCTTGCACTTCCTGCTTACACAGTTAATATTATTTCCTTCTTGGGTCTCTGAGGGAGTTGAAGATTACATAGTTATAGTTACAAAGTTTTTCTTGTTTACCAGACACAGAAAGCAAGTTATGATACAAATTAAATTAGGCACAAGACTTTGTACTCAACAAAGTTGCATAGACAATGAAGTATTTTCTCTGAATTTGTCAAATACAAATGAACTAGACATTGTTGATATACTTATTGCTTGTATATACTGTATAGTTACTGTACATACTATATATAGTTTTTCTTATATTAGTTATAGCCTTTTTTAATTTTAGACAAAAAGAGGGAAATGTAGTGATATTTCTTTTGTATTTTAATAAATAAAGATTGCCTGAAGACCAGAATGAAAAACAGCCACACTAGTCAGCCGTACAGGCCAGGCAGTGGTTACACACGCCTTTAATCCCAGCAGCCACACTAGCTAGCCATAGAGGCTGGGCAGTGGTGGCACATGCCTTTAATTCTAGTACTAGAGAAGAATATAAGGTGGGATGAGACAGGAACTAACTCTCTTTCAGTCTTAAGATTTTTTTTCAAACAGGGTTTCTCTGTGTAACTTTGGATAGTTCATAGAATTAAGAGCTTAGTTGCTTTGCTTTTCTGACCTTCAGGTTGAACCTCAATATCTGTCTCTGAGATTGTATTATTTGTGCTACATAAAATCAGCAGTTCCTAATAAAATTGAATATTATTATATTAAGACTTCACTCTTAAATGTACAGGGAAAACCAAGCATACATTGATTTAAAAAAAAAAGTTCATCAAATGATGTCTAAATAAAACACAATTTGATGCCTTCATAGAAAGCAATACTACTTCTACATAAAGGGAATG